AAAAAAAATTTAAAAAATACATTGTTTTATGTGGAATCTAATTTTTCCCCTTAAATGCGTGAGAGGGGTAAAAAATGTTGGAGGAAAAAGAGTTAATAGACTTGAAACAGAAGATGTCTAATAAGTGGGAGTACTATTGAGAGTCTGGAAAACAAAGCCTAGTGGCTTGGTCTTGTGAAGGCAAAAGGATGAGAAGTAGGCAGCTGCAAAATACTGTGGTTTGATCATTATGCACTGTTACATCTGTAACCTGTATTTGTGTCAGATTTGTAGCAAAACCTGCTATATGTTCTATGTCATGAAGGTGGAACTAGACCAGTCTTTTTACTTCCAACCTGCTCACGTGCCTGAACCTTCTATAATATGATATCATATTCTATAATATATTTAAGCACTTTGTAGATTTCTGTCTTTAGTTCATTAGTTGTGAAATTATCACAGTTATCAATGTAATGCTTGGAAGTTTTGTCCAAAAAGGCACCTTTGGAAGAGAGATACTTCTGTAATCTCATAGTTTTGTGCTGAAGCATAAAGAAGTTATTTTAAATTATGGTGGAGTTATTTTACTTCATAATTCTCCCAGAGAAGGAGAAGATATGAGAGGGTTCTAAGCAGGAGATGGATTGGGAATTGCTTCAAAGCAAAATATGCAGAGACACACAGGAAAGACCAAAAAAAAAAAAATTTAGAAAATACACTGTTTTATGTGGAATCTAATTTTTCCCCTTAAATGCGTGAGAGGGGTAAAAAAAATGTTGGAGAATGACTCAAGGATATTTTCTGTTCATGATCCTCCTGGATGCTGGCTATGGATGGCAGTTGTAGAGAGCAGTGTTAAATTTTGTGCTGAATTTACAACCATAATTGTAATTGTTTCTCTAAGTCATTAGCATACAAATATCTTACTGTTGGCTTAAAGATATTGCTTAGATACAGGTTAGAATGTCCTAATTTATATTCTCCTTAAAGAACTGTCCCCTCGCCCCTTTAATTTTTAGGCCTGTTCATTAATACAGTGCCACATGGTTTGGATTAGTAACACAGCAGGAGAGTGCTTATCCTAGAATTATCCATTAGATATGTTTCTGTTTTCTATTTTCTGCATAACTAAGTCTTTTTTAAAAAGCACAGCTCTTGAAACAAAACAGTACTGATAAAATAAACTTCAGCTGCCATGTTAAAATATCCAATACCAGACTTACGGATTCGAAGAACAGGAACTTTGATCCTCTTCTTTTGTGATGTAAAAAAAAAAAAAAAAAAGTGTGTGTGTGTGTGTATATTTAAAAACCCTTTAAAATGCTAATAACAGAACAGTAGTCTGCAAATCAGAGACATGATCCCAGTGGACCTAAAGGATGTACTGTCTACTATTGAACATATGATAGCAAGTTGACAGATCCCTGGAAGAGGATGCAATTCCAAAACCTTTCCATTTTCTGTCTGGAAAACTGTATTCTTTAGTTTGAAGCATAGTAGATATTAAATTAACTTACTAATAATATTACTAAATTTTAAACTCTTGAAAAGAAATAATTTTATAACATTACTTATGTTTCAATTTCTTGCAGGCAAAAGAAGCCAAACGGTTAAAAGAATTCTTAGAAGATTATGATGATGACAGAGATGATCCAAAATACTACAGGTATGTCTTTGTATTGATTCCTAACAATAAAATCTTCATTGTTCATTTTAACACAATTGTGGGGTTTGTTGGCAGAGGTTTATGGAGTTTATATTTGAGTAATTATGTGGCGACGTAAGGGTCATAATTATCTAAACTATTTCAGTGTCACTTGATAAGTGCCAGAGGGAAAAGGGAAACTCCTTACTGCTGCTTGTTAATGCTTGGGAATAGCTGCTCCTTCCTATCACTTAACTTGTGGGTGAGGCAGAGCAGAGGTTAGTGTAATGCCAAAATAAGGTGGTGGGGGCAGAGAGAAGGGATCAAGCATGCCTCTAAAAAGAATTCACTACAAGGAAGCTGTAAATTGTACGAAGAACAAGCTCGTTAACTCTGTAAAGGATGGGGAAGATCCTTCAGCATGGGACTATCTAAAATTTGCATCAAACTAATTTAGCAGAACTGGTTCTTGTCAAGTATAAACCTCTAAAATAATTTGATTCTTTTTCTAAGAAGATTGGTAGTCACATTCTCCACATCTGTTTAATGTGATTGGGGTAAATTCTGTATAGTAACGAAGGGAACTGGTATCTTACATTCCTCTGTTACAAAAATAGAGGGCACCAGATGCTCTTAAGAATCTTATATTCATTTAGTCGAAGATACATCTGTATCAGGTATTTCTTGTATTATGGTACAAGGTTCTCATTGGAATGTTCAAAATTCATATCTTTTGTAGGGGTAGTGCTCTTCAGAAGAGGCTACGAGACAGGGAGAAAGAGATGGAAGCAGATGAACGGGATAGGAAAAGGGAAAAGGAAGAATTAGAAGAAATTAGGCAGCGCCTTCTGGCGGAAGGACACCCAGATCCCGATGCAGAACTCCAGCGGGTAAGTAGCTGTTGGTCTGACAGGAAAAAAAGAGCCCTTGGTATTCTGGTGGTATTGAGCAAAATTGTGTAAGAGATCTGATAGTTAATATTTGCTCTGTTCACTTTTTCTTAAAAAGAAGTTCAGATAAGCAGTAAGAACACTGGAAACAAAAAATAACTTTCCAGATCTATGTTTGGATGGAGTTCGAAAACAAACAAATTTGGATTAACCAGTATTTCTGATTATAATGGCAGTAGTTGCATGTATTTGTTCTTGACTAACAGACTTCTTTAGGAAACAGAGGATCTTTAGATTCTTTTAAAACAGTGCTGTTTTTGAGAAGGCTGCTTTTTTGCTAATTGTCTGTTTCATTGTAGATGGAGCAGGAGGCTGAGCGGCGTAGGCAGCCACAAATAAAACAAGAGCCAGAGTCTGAGGAGGAAGAGGAAGAAAAGGCAGAAAAAGAGGAAAAAAGAGAAGAGCCGGAGGAGGAGGAAGAGGAGCCTGAACAAAAGCCCTGCCTTAAACCAACTTTACGACCCATCAGTTCTGCCCCATCTGTTTCTTCTGCTAGTGGAAATGCAACCCCTAACACACCTGGTGATGAATCTCCCTGTGGTATTATTATCCCTCATGAAAATTCACCTGATCAACAGCAGCCGGAGGAGCATCGGCCCAAAATAGGACTTAGCCTCAAATTGGGCAAGTTTACGTTTTATTTTAATGTTCCATATGGGATCAGAATGAAAAAAATGCCAAGCTGAGTAGCCACACAGTTTTCCAAATATATTGTATGTTTTGACATACATCAAGTTGTTGTTATCCAGATGCTGTGCTTGATTTCTCCTATTCAGAAGATACCTTTTATAGATCTCTCTTCTTCCAATATCAGGGGAAAAAGGGAGCGAAGTTTTGGCATCCTCAAGGCTTAATTTTTTTTAGGAATGCTCTGAGCTGGGATTAGTTATTTCCACATGCTTTTTCACATTAATAGATCTCTAAATATCTCTTTTAAAACTCATTGCTACTTTTCATTGATGTAAGTGTATGTTAGATTTAAGCCCTAGATACTACTTATGTTTATTGACAAAGACCCTTTTAAAAGAAGAAAACTGAAGATTAGATTATTTTTTCCTCCTCTTAGAGTAGCACAATGAATTGATGGCAATTGCAAATGGAACATGAGTGTAGAGTTCCTTAGTATTCTAGCAATTTCCTTGTGTGTTTTAAAAAAAATTTTATTCTGAGCAGCAGAACTAAGGATATTTGTATTCCAGAAGGTTTCTGCATTTACTATTTATTACTTCAATTAAATTATACTGGGGCTGCAGTTTGAGCTCACACTCTGTTAGATCTTGAATGAAGAGAGACTGTATGGTATTAGGCTAACTGATTAACGCTTTTCCTACAGCTAGATTCATTGCAGCCTTTCACTTCTGTGCTCTGCCTCTGCTAAGGTTTGAACTCATGCTATAGTCCTCCCTCAGTGAGGGTGCAAATTGGTTTCACGGCAGAGAAAGACCCTACTTTTCAAAAATCTCAAACAAACTCAGTTTGAGATTTTTACCTCCTTTGCCATTTTTATAACAGAGTTTGAGAGATTAACACGTTGATGGTTAGGCATTCACAGACATTTATATAACATATAAACTGATATTCCTCAAGAAATTTGTGAAGAGCAAACTAGCTTCAGTTGCAGTTTATGAATACGTTATTCTGTCTTTTGGGTGGTAGGTGCCTGCAATAGTCCTAATCAGCCCAATGCTGTAAAAAGGAAGAAGCTTGCTGTGGATAGCGTTTTCAATAAATTTGATGACGAAGACAGTGATGATGTGCCCCGGAAAAGGAAACTTGTCCCCCTGGATTATGGAGAAGAAGATAAAAGCAATATCAAAGGCAGTGTCAATACAGAAGAAAAACGCAAACATATTAAGAGTCTCATTGAGAAGATTCCCACAGCAAAACCAGAGCTCTTTGCTTATCCTCTTGACTGGTCAATTGTGGATTCAGTAAGTTGATTTCTTTTAACCATTCACAAAAACGCGTATTTTTTTTTTCCAAACAAACCTTGGAATTTAATAGAAAAACAATGTTCCTGGGACCCCAGTGTATTGGAGCATCATCATCAAATGAATCAAACTTGAGTACTGTATTTCTTGTCCATATATAATACTTATTCTGAAGTATGCCTGCTTATTTTTGTTTGGTCTCCTGAATTGTTGCTACAAATTGTCTAGCAGTTTTATGGAAGGGGGCGAAAAAAGGTCCTGTAAAAACATGTTTGAATGGCTGTCAGAAATACTTGCAGATGCCAAATAGCTAAGGGTTATCTCATAGCAAAATGTATCCTTTGCTAAATAGTTGTTTGGGTCTTCTAGCTGCCTATCTGGCAGTATGGTTTCAAGACGGTAAAGTTTATGGAAATTATGGTGTGCTTTTTTTTTCCCCAGACACTAATGGAACGTCGAATTAGACCGTGGATCAACAAGAAAATAATAGAATATATTGGTGAAGAAGAAGCCACGCTAGTTGACTTCGTTTGTTCTAAGGTTAATATCTTCCACTTCCTTTGTGAAGTCTGGGTTTTGCTCCCTATTTAAGCTGCAGCAATGACTGCAGTATCTGTATTTGAAGGCAGTCTGTTCATAGCTTCTCTGTAATCTATGATACTGGTCAACAGAGACAGTTGGTGTACTTGGAATCAATATGTACCCTACTGTTTTACAAGTTACCTCCTTTAATGCTTATGCACAATATGTATATGCTAGATGCTCTCTGTTATCTATTAGATAAACATATGGAACTGGATTGAAAAACAAGCAGTTGACAAGAGCAGCTGTTTTAACTGATAGTTTTATCATTAGATTTCAGAGTTAGTATCTCATTGGCCATTAACATTTTTAACTTAAAAATAGGATTTGTGTGAATTCAGGGGAAAAAACCAGTAGCTTGATTTTACATACATTTTTGGATTAACTAGTTTAACTTCTTAAAAAGCTTTTTAGATGCTTTTGTTTGCTTTAGTAGTAAGCAAATACTAAGGTTTTAGAGTTAGCATTAGAAGTCATTCTGCTATACCTTTTGGCTGTTGCATGACTTGTTTAAACTAAACTCGTGCATAGCTTCTTCCATCAAATTACAAACTAAATTCTAATAACTTGCCTTTTTAAATCTGTCATGACAACTCTATGGCTTTTCATCAATAGAGAATTTCAAAAATGTTTTTCAGCTTTCATGGTACTCACGTTCATAATGGCTTGTCTCGGTTTATCTTTAGGGCTACTGTATGAGAGGCAAAGCAAATGATAGTTTTGTGGCACAGGTGGTTAGTAGAAAGTGAAAAGCAGAAGTTGAATATTTGCCAAGCTTAAATTTTATATTAAAAAAAAAGCCATTTTCTAATATTGAAAAACAACTTATTTGGTTCTGAAAAAAATAATTTGAAATACTTAACAGGCAGATGGAAGACTCAGTTATGAAGAGTGATACAGGGAGGATTTTGCCTTTGTCTTCCATTAGGAATTGTTGAAGGAAGGGGATCTTATTCCTCAAATTAGGAGAGCTTAATTGGAGGTGCAAGAATAGCCAGCAAATACAGGACCTGTTGAATCTCTGGAGCTTCCTGGAACTTGTTCCTCAGTAACTAGACATAAACTAGCACTTACTATGATGGAATCTGATGTAGTTTAATACTAATTTTTGCCCTGGCTAATACTGGAAACTAATTAACTGGAAATACTTTTTGCATGTGCAAAGCATTCAAAATAAGGCCTTGAGATGTATCTGTTTTTTGTCCAAAGATGTTTATATGGTTTACTCCGATTTTTCAGTCTAAAAACATTTATTTCTTTCAGGTTATGGCTCACAGCTCACCACAGAGCATACTGGATGATGTCGCCATGGTAAGCAGAAACTGTGTAACTGATATACCTTCTACATTATACTGAAGCTAGTGTTCAATTGTGTGAAATAGTAGGAGTCCATAACAGAAATATTTGGCGTTCATAGAAAACATGCATTAGGTATGAAAGCTGTTTTGATTAAACAGATCATGCTAGCACAGGCATGATTTTACAGTTACAGCATCTAGGTAGAAAGTACCGATCCCTGTTCAGAATTTCTCAGTATTCAGAAACGTGGAACAAAGATTCTGTCCCTAACAGTAGAGGTAAGAATGAACAATAACAGAATTGGATCAGAAATATAAACTTTTATTCCTTCTCATTCTTGTAACTAGACTTTTATAATTAGTGGTTTAGTAGGTCTATTCCTAATTAATGAGCAAAAGGTGATTTTTCTCTAGAAGAGTAAAAGCTCTTTTTTGCCTGGTGTTGGAAGAGAGAAACTTCACAAAATAATGCTACTGTTTCACCATGTTTTCATACACTGAAAGGTGAATAAAAACTCATTGTTCACTCTCTTCCAATAAGGAAACTTAAAGGCAAAGTTGGTAGGAGCCAGATTTATAGCGGAAGTTAGTAGGTTGTTCCTTGGTGTGACTAGTAGGTGACCTGGGGAACTTCCTGAGGGATGTTGTGCATGCTAGAAGTTTGCATGGATTCAAGAAAAGCCTGGACAATAAGTTCAAGGAAGAGAAATCCATCAAGGGATTACTTAATAAATATCCAAGGAAGTTCCAAGATGAAAATGAGCAGAGACTAGGAGAGAATTAAGGGAAAATACCACGTGTATGTCCTGTTCTTACATTCTTCCCAAGCCTGCCATTTGTCTGCCTCTTCCCAAGCCACTTTTGGAGACTAGGATACTGGTACTTTTATCTCTTAGTGCTCAACAGCTGCATTATACAAGTATATAATTAGAGCCTAGTCAAGTCAGGTGATAAATGCAGGACAGACAAATTCACTGAAGTTTTATCCAGTGCCTTGCTCAAAGGCTTAACTTGGATGACACTACCTCCACTTTGTAGTTCTGATGTGTCTAGAATTAGTCTTTGTAACTGGAATGCCTAACCTAAAAAATAATCTGTAAAATGTGTATTTCCTGCAGGTACTAGACGAAGAAGCTGAAGTTTTCATAGTCAAAATGTGGAGGTTGTTGATATACGAGACAGAAGCGAAGAAGATTGGTCTAGTGAAATAAAGCACTCTCCTTGCTTCTAGGGTTCCGTTTCAATTTTGGGCTTTTTTCTTTCCATCATTCAAAGACTTTGAATTTTCTCTGTTCTCAGAGACTTGAGATCTATATTTTTTTATGTAGAAAATGTGAATTTTTTTGTCCTCTGCTCTGAGGCCCCCATTACCCTTCTCAGTTAGTTACCTGAGTCCTGCATTGGTTCTCTTTATAATTCACAAGGTACAATTACCGGTATGTTTTACAAGCTGCAGCTACTGTACACGCTCTCTGGTAATTTTGTTACGTTACTCTGATTCTTGTAAATACTAAGAAAAAAAAAAAGCCCCTTTTTTTGCAAAACATTTGCACTTAATGTGGAACTATATCAGTTACAGATGAAGACAAATGATTTTACTGCAAATTTCTTTATAATTCACAAGGTACAATTACCGGTATGTTTTACAAGCTGCAGCTACTGTACACGCTCTCTGGTAATTTTGTTACGTTACTCTGATTCTTGTAAATACTAAGAAAAAAAAAAAGCCCCTTTTTTTGCAAAACATTTGCACTTAATGTGGAACTATATCAGTTACAGATGAAGACAAATGATTTTACTGCAAATTTATCAGCGCTCTTTTTTTTTTTGCATATTCTCCCTCTTTTTATTTAAGGAATGATCAGAATACAATTTAAAAATAAGTGGCTTGAGCTGCTTTCACAGAACAGCTTTGTGTGTTCATTTGGTCCCCTCATCTGACTCTGGAAAAGGAGTTCCCTCAGACTTTTCGTTCTGATGTGAACCAGCAGTAGTCTTTGTACTTTGGCCATTTAGAATTACTAATGAAGCTGGGAACTTAATCTCCTGCAGATGCTCTGCTTCTTTCCTTAGAAAGTGCAAATTGCAGGAAATTTTTTATTCTTTGCTCAGTTAAAACAAGAGCAGGACCTCAATTCAGTAAGTGCTATTTAATGGGTTTTTTTGGTTGTTTTTTTTTTAAACCTAGGATATCTTCTGCTCAATTTCATTTTAGCCCTTCCCTGTTATCCCTTCTGTCTCCAAAATAATCAGATGGATTTTTTTTAAAAGAAATTATTTTAGAAAACATTTTTTTAGTATTTAGAAAAAAAATACCTGTTTGGATGTAACTGACCATAGCAGTTGACAAAAACTAAACCATAAGTTTCAAAGCTGAAGTCTTGTTTTTATCCATACTATTAAACTAGACCCGACTTTTGTTTTCTACTGTAAGCAGTCTGTTGTCCACAAAAAGAGGGTGATCTTTTCCTGCCTTGTTTGTATGGGTTTTTATAAATAGGCTGATATGGTATAAATGATGAGATGTACTGTAAACTGCATTTTTTATCTCATACCTGGGTAAGAAGACAAATCGATAATGTGCTATGAGCTGTTTTGATTGCAGGAGGACTGTGTTCCAGGGAGCAAACTGTCTCAAACATTTTTAATTTTTAAACACAATTCTTAATAGCAAACAAATTAAGTAAAGGTGTTCCAGTATCTCTATATTGTATTTAACTGAAGGATACAGGTTGACCTGTTCAGAAAACATAACTATGACCTTGAGTTACTAGTTCTTTGTATCTGGAGAGGACACTTGAAAACACTGTTCTTAACAAACGGGATCGTGTAAAGGTTCCACCATGTAAATATTTCAGATATTAAAAATGTATATATTTGATTTAAGGGCTGACATTCTTTTGGAGTCTTGTGCAGCATGCAATTATATTTAACACTGCTTTCCGAATCAACAAGTGTTCACAAATTAGGGGTGGGTTTTTTTTTAAAACTACCTCCTGCTTTATGTCAGGTGACTAGAGCCTGCAAATGCAGATGTGATCCCAGTATGTTCTTTCTCATCCCTGTAATACTACACACCACAATGTTCTTTTTTAACTTGAAATGTAATGCTCAGATTTTACTTTTATGTTGTGCTTCAGTTGCGTGAGAATGTTTTGTTTTACATACTTATATGCTGCAACCTTCCTCTTTTTTTTTTCTGCAACTTGATGTTACCCTACGAAATTACTTCTCCATTCTCCCCATACAGTTTTGCATCAGCATTTACCAAAAATTCTCCAAATTCTAAATAAATTCAAAACTTGCTCTGTTTGTAGTAAATACAGAGAAGAGGGAGAGTGAACTTCGTGAGTGCTTTTTGTCCTGCTAGTATGGCATTCTCTCTCTGTCATTAGTAGTAGTTAAACAAGCCAAATATGACAAATGCGTTGTAATGCCACTGTGTGACAGATTGCCTAATGTCCTTGTTGAGATTTTTCAGTGAAAGCTCAAGTTGTGAAACTTCAGCTTATTTTCTTCTGCCCTAAACTAAAGGTGTGTATTCATCTACTATATTATTTATGTATTGGACATAAGCTTGTACTCTTCCTTAGGAGACTGAAGGTGTCTGGGTGAGGAAGACATCTAAAATTTAAGCTGGAATGTTAAATATCCAGGTAAATAAGTATTTAGAAGCAGTTGTGACATATTAAAAAAATTAATTTTGTGGAAGTTGAGGTTTTCTTCAGTAGTGGAAGGAGGAAGGAATGTTCACTGTAGCATTTCTGGCTTGGCTTATGCAAGTACTTCAACAAATTTTCCTCTTTCAGGATGCAAAACGTTGCTTTATAAAGTCACTTCTAGTGTTTACCTCTTACTCAAACTAGTGTTATTACTTCTCAGTGATAATATAATTTGTGTCTGTGATGCTGGGGGGTAGAACACAAATTACATACTGCTGAGAGGTTCTTAGTATAGAAAGTAACTTTCCTTTGTTAACCGTTTTTCTTTCAACACGCAGTAACAGAATTATTTCAAGATAAGCTTGGAAAATTTGGGGTAGAAAAAGCCTTTTTTGCCAACATTACAACACTTTACTGTCTGAATACACGATTTAATGCACACTGTGTGTTATGTTAGTGAATGCACAGATTAAGAGTATACTGAGAATGAGATCCATTAGCAAAGTATGTATGTTGCCACTGGGTGTTCAGTGCAGCATGCCGTAGTATGATCCATTCTGTGATGGGAAGGTACTTCAAAAGTTACACATAGTGCATAGAGGGAAAAAATATCAATATTTATACAACAGAACTGGATATACTAGTTGTTGATCTGGACTTTACTGTGGAATGAGACTTTACACCTTATTTACACCTTAACCTAACACATGCCCTTAGTCCCCTGATAATCATTCTGAAACCATGAACAAGTAAGATCCATAACCAAGAATTATATATTTTTATATTACTGTTAATTTGATAGAGACTTTTTTGTTCTTAGACTATTTAACCTGTTCACATACTGATTTGGTCTAATTTGGGGCGTTTCCTTCCTCCTTTCCAAACAGGAGCCTGCACTAAAAATAACCATCTAGCTAGATGATTGTGGCTCTAAATGTGGGTGGGGGGAAGGCCCCAAACAGTAAGTTTAGTTTCTTACTGAATTCCTGTTTCTTACCACTAATGCTTTCCTATTACTGAGAGGGAAGCATTCGACCTTTCGTGCTTTTACTGAATGGAGTTGGCTGATAGCTGCTTGCAGGAGTAGTATTTTAGAAAGTGGATACACTTAAAACTGGAAGCTGTTGGCTTTTATATTACGAGGGTCACACTTTTTCATATTCTATACATTTTCCTATGTAGGAACATAGGATGTCATACATGCAGACTTACAGATTAGAACAGTCATGCAGTGTAAGGTATTGTTAATAGACATTTCATCATAGGTCAAACTGATATCAATAATATAAATAGAGAATAGTCTGGTACAGCTGTATGTCCATGTTTGGGTTTTTGGGGTTTTTTTTTTCCTCTTAAAATAACAAATGGTTGTATTTGGTTAATGGTTAGGCATCGCTTTCGGTCTAAAAACGGCTTCTTTTAAATGTACTTCATATGCATACGACCTATTGAAACTTGGTATTTGTGTCAAAATGCTTATGTAAAACCTAACTTCTATGTGCAATACTTCTGTGCCACTTCATTTTCCCACAGATGTTCCTGTAGTATAGTCGAATAGTGAAATACAACATCTGTTTTTAAACATGCAGAATTACATGGTCCCTCAGAGATTTTACTTTTTTTTTATTTAGAATGATTACATGTATCGTAGCATTTCCTATATGTTAGTAACCCTATTAGGTTATGCATTTTTAAAAAGGAATTGTGGATTAATTACTCTTCAAATATCATGGATAGCAAGGCAAGCTTCAAGTTTGAAATTGCCTTCCTTTCTTCCACAAATGAGTCACAGCTCTACTAGAGGCTTCTTGTAAAGATGCCTCATTGACTTTACTAAAGTTTTAATATGGTTTTTATTTTGAAGCGCAAAGATCCCTTCAAGTTATTTTCCTAATGCTTTTTTGTGGGACCATTTTAAAACAGGGTTACTAGCTTATGTATGACTTGAATTCAAAACAACCAAGTGTATTTCCTCTCTTTGCTTGTATTTGAGTGTATTTGCTCTCTTACCAGGTTAGACAGGACAAGCTAGATTTCCCTTGCAAGACTACTCTTGGCTGAAGTTTCAAAGAGTGCTCGCTCCCTCATATCCAGCCAGCCTGCTCATAGTCCGTGACCTGTCTTCAGTTACCATCCACTTGTCTCGATGTCATGCTTTTGCTTAATGGCAAGCTTTCAGCTTGTTCTTCCAGAAACGCTCCTTCGTGCCTCCTGCGTGTCGGTGGGTGCCTGTGCTGGCCGGACGTACCTCCCTGAGCCGAGGGGACCCTCAGCCGCCGCTGTGGAGGTTTGCTCCGGTGGCCCGAGGACGGCTGGGGGTCTGGCAGCTCCCCCGGCGCCCCTCGCCCGGCTCCCCGGGGCTGCCGGAGCCGCTCCTCGCGGCTCA